GGGTGCCTCCAGGGAGTGGATGTAGGTCAAGTTTGACCGAACCACTATAAATCTTATCTTTTATTTTTTTTGTTGCTTTTTATTTTGTTGATTTTTGTTTCTAATTTGTAGTTGAAAAATTTATTTCAATTTATTTCTACAAAACTCATTTAAGTTTATTTTTCGGTTTAAAAAATTAAAAAAGGGATTAATTTTTAATTACTAATTCACCCCCCCCCCCTCTTGGTTAGCCGCTGGGACATAAGCTTAGGTTTAACAACCTAATTCATAGTGATCGAGTTTCAACAAGTATTGTCCAGGAAAATCCAATATTGTGGCTAATGCTTTGAGTCATAAATTTACAGGAATTATGAACCGGATGATTTTCCAAGAGGTTCAACTGATTAAGGATATAGAAAATTTGTAATTGGAGATAAGAGATAATAAAAATATAGAATATTTGCATTCAATGACAATAAAGCCAACTTTAATTGATCGTATTAAAGAAACTCAAAAGCTCAGTCGTGAATCGTCAAAATTGATGAAGCAAGCTTAGTCAGGGAAAAGACAAGATCTTTCAGTTGATGTTGATAGAATCATTAGATACAAATTCCAATTATAGGTACCCAGGAATCTGGATTAAAGAAAGAAAATTTTATAAGAAACTCAATATTCTGACTACACAATTCATCCAAGCAGTACTAAGATATATAAAGGCTTTAAAATTATATTCTAATGGCCAAGTATGAAGAGAGACATTGTGGAATATGTAGCTAACTATGAAGCATGTCAAATTGTGAAAGCGGTACATCAGTGACCTAGTGAATTACTACAATCATTAACTATCCCTGAGTGGAAGTGGGAAGAAATTGTAATGGATTTTGTTATAGGATTTCCCAGATCCAAACAGGGACATGATATTGTTTGGGTGATTATCTCCTGGATTAATCATATACTGGTCAATAGGACCCCGCGCAACTCTATTATGAATAGTGGAGGAAGAGCCCTTTCCACTCTCACTCCCATAGTAAGCATCATGTTCGACCCTTTTATCAAATTGCTCCTGTTGTAAATGTTTGACTGTGGTACTCTTCTTCATGTAAGCAGTAATATCATCTTTTACCTTATTCGGCACATTCGCACAAGGTGCTACATTCTTATGTGAGCCGGATAAGTGTTCCTTCATGCGAGTAACTCCTCCCTTCACCACCTTATCACAAAAAAAATATTTTAAATACACATATGTCTTCTCGCCGCCTCTTACATCAACTTACACACTGTATTTCCAAGAAGAGTCATGCCGCAATGACATATTTATCTTTTCTTTGCCCCTAACCATATTTCCTAATGCACAAATTCGAAAACAGACAAAAAATCTCAAAAAATAAAAAAATCCTAAATTTTTTATAACTTGAAAAACTTTCCTTGAACTAAAAAAAATACCTAAAATCAATAGTGGAGTGCTTGTAGAGGGCGGCCGGACCCTATAAACTCACTGGCGTGAGGTGGCGCTAGCGAGAGAGGTGGCTGACAGCGAACTCGAGCAGAAGCTTTGCGGACGAAAATGGCCTTGCGGACGAAAATGGCCTTGCGGGAGGATTTTCATTTGGTTCACTAGAGCCGAATGGTATAACAAAAGAAATAAGTCATTTTAAGTAGGTGAGACCCGGTTTAAAGAGGCGTGCGCCTCACATGATATTGCACAATAGCACCTTATAGCCCGTGAGGCGTAGGCCTCACCTGGAGCAAAAATTGCTTAGGCAATGAGGCTCTTGAGGGCTAACTTGCGTAAAGGCGCGCCTTGAGGCACGCCTCTAATCGCGCAATTTTAAACTATGATCTCATATAGAGATGGTCGATTTACTTCTAGGCTGTGAAAAAACATTCATTCATGAAAGCTTGAGCACAAATCTGCATTTCAGTATAGCTTTTCATCCTTAGACTAACAGTCAATATGAAAGAACCATTCAAGTATTGGAACACTTATTGAGATTATGTGTTTTGGATTTCAGAGGTAACTGGGAAGATCACATATCATTAATAGAATTTTCCTATAACAATAGCTACCAATCTAGTATACAAATAGCTTTATATGAAGCATATTACGGTAGAAAGTGCAGAACTCCCTTAACTTGAGTTAAGATAGGAGAAAGACAATTACTGAGCCCATAGTTAGTTTATGAAGCAATAAAGAAAATCAGATTAATTAGAGACAGAATAAAAGCTGCTCAGGATCGCCAGCAAAAGTATTATGACCCCAAGCATAGAGCAGTAGAGTTTGAAGTCAGTGGCTTTGTTTTTTTGAAGGTTAAGCCTGTGAAAGGTACAACTAGATTTGAATAGGGAAGCAAATTGAATCCTAGATATATAGGACCTTTTGAAATCATTGAGAAGATTGAAAAGGTTGCTTACCGACTTGCTCTTCCACATGACATGCCGGATATGCATAATGTTTTTTCATGTGTCACTGCTAAGGAAATTGGTTACAGTTGCCCATCGAGGAATTCCACATGATGAAATTAAGCTACAAAAGAAATTGACTTATATTGAAGAACCCAAAAGAATATTATATTTTGTTACTAAACAACATAGAAAACATCAGACTCCTTATGTTAAAGTGAAATGGAAATACATGCCACAAAAGGAAGCAACTTGGGAGAAGGAAGAAGACATTAGATTGAAGTTTTGTAAGTTATTTGATGGCTCTTAAGATAGTAGATTTCGAGGACAAAATTTAAATGAGGATGATTTGTAATACCCGAAATGCTCCAAATAAAGGTAAGCATAAACTTTTGAATTTTAAGCATTTCATCTATATGAATAACTAATTATTATCTTGATTACAAAAAAAAATGTTATTATTCATTTTTTACAGAAATTTATTATTCTATTTCAACATGTGCCATTTCATTATATTATTTTTATTCATGTACCCACAACACTTTTTTTTCTTTTTAATATACCCACAGCACTTAGCTTTGCATGTATTGGACTGATTAAGGTGGAAAATCAACGGCTGGGTGGAATTTTGAGAGGAATTAGTAGAGTAGAATATAATAGTCTTAGTGGAATTTTGGAGCAGTGTGGATGCCGATAGTGTTGGCTGTGGGAGAACGAGGGGCTGAAGGAAACGTGCGTCGGTGTGTGGGAGCTGTGGCTCGAAGCGTTGATTTCTCATTACTCATGTAATGAAAAATAATTACAAATGTTCTCAAATCTTAAATCTGAAAACTGAAAGAAAACAATGGATGTATTTCTAAATTGGTGTTTTGTTGAAGAGCGTGTGAAGAATTCTGGATTGTGGAAAATCAGGGTGGAAAATCAGTAAGGAGAAGGATTAGAAATAGCTGGTAGGTGAAGTAAAAGCAGTTCTTGATGTTGATGTATTAATTGAATTCTTTATTTTAGAATTCAAAAGGTTTTTTGAACTTTATAGTTACTAAAATCAGGTTAGAATTCAATTGTCATTACTGAATTCAAAAGGGAAAGAAGGGTGAATAGGAATAATGTAAGGGAAGGCGGTAGAGACGGAAATTTTGTAAGAAAGAAAAGGCCACGATTGAATGAGGAGGAACTTAATTGAGCTAAATTTGTAAGATATTCATATTGTTTATTTCTTTATTTATTAGCATGTGTAAATTAAGAAATGTATGTTATAGGTAGTGTACAAAAGAAGAAGAAAATATGAAGAACGAATTCCAAATGGTTGAGATACCCAAACGATGTTATAGGAGTTAATAAATGTTTTATCTAATTGCAATTCATATCTATTATGATTATGAACTTATGGTAGCATTTATTTCTGTTAACTTCAATTTATTCTTATATGAACATGTACAAATATGTTAATTCATAGAGTGATATCTATAATAGCATATGTCCTGAAGGCTAAAAAGGATTTTCATTGGGAAAGTAAAATAAGTCATATATGAGGGATATACATACACAAGTAAAGGCGAAAAACCTGACAAGGTAAGTCTACACTCTCAATTCTAGAAGTTGAGAATTTGGACCCATCCTTGAATGAAAAAGCAGCTTCAATTCTAAAAGTTGAGAATCTAGACCCAACCTTGAATTAGAAAGCTGGTAGGGTGCAAAACTTATAACCATTATATGACTTAAATAAATGCATTAAACAATAAACATAACAGAAAGTAATGTTATGCATTTCTTATGATCAGTATGAAATTTTTATTTGTTTTTAATTAATTGTCCAAAAGTTATTATTATTTCTTATACATTGTTTGTGTATTTTATTGAGTCCTATTTCATTTGCAGTGGTTGCACTGCAGGAAAGGGGAAGGAGTCCGTAGGGCAGTAAGAGGGGGTGACTACCTTTCTTTTGGTGTGCTCAGAGGTTCAAGTGTAAGCTATACAAAGGCTTTTGGACATGTAAGTAAATTTTAAAGGTTTAGTAAAACTCTGTTTAAATTAAGATGTGTATTTTATTTGAGATATATTATAATATGCTTCCTATTATGAAAATATTGATTTTTTATGTTTAATTGTGTTAGGATAGTTGAATAGACTAATTTTTACTTATCCAATTCTGATATCAACATTTTAGATTAGGGGTAAGTACGAGGTCTATTCAAATTCTCCTTCTATGTTAAATTATACTTTAACTATAGATGGGTTAAAATGGGGTGTGACAAACGGTCTCTCACTTTAATCCAGCCAAAGTAATTTTAATGAAACTTTTGAATGCCCAAAGACATCTTCATTGTGAGCGCTCACAGTGGCTGCCAAAGAAAATATAGGGCTGCTGATGGTGATTAGCCAAATGTACAGAGAAGGTTTTATCATTGTGAAATGGAGCATATAAATGGAATTCATCCTGATCATCAAGAGAACATAAGGGGGGTCGTAATAATTTACTTCTTAACAAATCTATCTATGAATTAAACATTGCCTTCAAATATCCTCAATTAGAGGTGATTCAAGCAGATGCAACAAAGTAATGAGATAACAAGCAAAAGGAATGAGATACCATGAAAACATCAAATAAGGCACAAACTGACCTGAGCTTATCAGATAAATGCCATCCTTTGTTGATTTCAATCCAGTCACAGCACCATAATGGGCTGTTGCCCGATTAAGACTGGACGACATTCCCGGGTGTAGTCTCTGTGTTGCAGACCCTCTGGGGAGATTTTGATGTTTGTTAGAGTTATTCAAGTTCTTCATAACGCTACCAGAAGGCACTCTTTTATGAGATGGTGGAGCTTTGGCAGAATTTTTTCCGGGAGTCATCCTTTCTGCATTTGCCTGTTTAAGAGGTGAAAAGATTATATGCTCAACAAACAGGCGATCCTAGCAAACATGCTATAAAATTGGGGCAATTTTATGTATAACACTCAAATCTTAATTATTTACAGAAGTTACACCCCCTACTTCACTTTTTCAAATTCCCACCAAAATATCAAAATTTAAAACAAAATCCCAAACATATTTTTCACTTTCGTTAAATTCCTAACAATTTGATCATAGTATGTTTAAATGAATAGATTTAGTAATTCTAAAAAATGAACAGGGTGTTGATTTCATAAATAAGAAAGATTTGAAGTTGTTAAAATAAATATCCCTACAAAATTTTCTGCAATAACAGAAAAAAAAAAAAAAACTATTCATCAATCATTAAACCATGTATTACGTAGAATGGAAGAACCAGAGATCTCACCCTTCAAAAACCAAGTAAAACATGTATCCTACATGTATCCTAGTGCCAGCCAAACTGCCAAGATATATAATCAGCGTCAAAAGGGCAAGACTACAAACCAGAACTTTTGAAAGAAACATCCTGAAGGGAAAATACCCTGGTTGAACAATGCATTTCCGAACTTTTTTTAAAATATTTTGATACAACAGCATATTAAAAATCCAAATCATTCTAGAGTACTAAAAAATCCTATGACTTAACAGAAAAACATTCAGTGATTGTAACAATGAAATGCCACCTAAAACAAGGGTTTTTAATTATTTTATGGGTGCTTAGAAAGTCTTCATCAAAGAAACCATAAAAGCAAGATTTACAAGTCAAAAGGAAAATTGCTGTACTTTGAAAGGGACAACCGCAAAAATTAGAGCATTGCTCTACACCATAGCTTGGGTTAGCAATTTTCCTTATTTGGTTATGATGTTTTGTTGCTGTGCCAAACAAAATAAAGCCATTGTTCGCATAGAAATGAGCAAGTTGGTCTCCAAAACTTCATTTGGGATAGTTTTTACTATTTTTGTGACTGAAAAGGCAACCAAAAATATCCGTTTGGATGACAACTTTTTCAATGTTTTTTCCCCAATATTTTGCATTAGAAAAGCTGTTTTCAAAAAGCATAATAGCAATTATGGTTAAGAACTAGTTTTTAAATAGTAAAAATAAAAAAACAGCCCTATTGACCTTGGTATGCATATCACAACTGATTCAAATAAGTATAATGAGAATGATAACCGAACACGATTTCAAACGAAATGAGTTCGAAGCGCTTCAACCACAATTGAAATCACTCAAATGTCACACTTTTTGAAACAGACTGGTTCGACACATTGGGAGCATCAAATTTACCTGAAAAACTCTATAACACGCACCTTGAGCAAGCCTGACGAAAAAATCGAACTATACGCATGACGTTACACAAAAGTCGTTTGAACTTCTCCCATTTGCAAAATGGACTATGCCGACGCACCCAAAATATTGAAATTACCCTATCAAAATAATTGCCACCCCTTATCACACCTCCTTCATGTAAGGTCACATCCCTCATCTAAAAAAATATGTTAAAAAAGAATAAATAAAAATAATAATAAAATAATTTTTAAAAAACAACAATATATATATACATATATATTATATATATATATATATATATATGTATATATACACCCCTCTTCTCTCTCAAATGAGCTCGAACTCCTCTGCCTTCTCTGATACATACTCTCCTTTTCTCCTTGCACTAATCTCCCACTCCCAAACCTTCACTTTTTTCTCCCAAACCTCAGTCACTAACAAACCCAACTCAACACGGCTGGTGACCGACCCACAACCTTTTGATGAATCCCTTGACATCTCTTTCGCCTCTCTGTTCCATGCACAATATGAGCCCCAGCTCCCTGTCCCATCTCTTAATATTCTCAACCAGTCGCCCTAGCAACCACTCATCAGTGACCAGCTCCTCTCAACTCAAACAATGAACCACCCAACCACCTCACCAATGCCTCCCCCTTCTTTGCGCTATAAAAATGGCACCACCCTTTGTCACACCTCATTTTGGCCCCCTAGTCAATCTAGACTATAACAGAGAAGGGGAATCTGAACGTACCTCCATCTTACTAACACTATTTTTGAATTACCTCTATCGGAATCAGGGAGTAAGAAGTAACCTATTCAGAATATCATAACATATCATGTTTTATACTTCATAACAGTAAGCATATGTAAATTACCTCAAATGAAATAAAGAGCTTTACTAAACTTTTAAAAATTACTTACATACCCAAAAATGTCTATACATCTCCTACTCAGATCTCTTTGTACAATCAAAAAATATATGTATACAAAAAAGTTCAGTCACTCTTTTTGTCTAATGTCCTACTCGTGTTGCAACTCGAGCTTATAAATTTATGTTTTGATGATAACAAATATTGTGGCTCACTTTCTACATGTATTTGCGATATATTTTTCTTTCTGTGTTTACTAACATTTCAGGATTACAGGGCACCTTACAAGGCTCAGCTTTAGCATAACATGTTCTATTTGTATTTTTTATTAATGTATTTCTTGGCTTGTAAGGGTGTTTGCTTGCTTGTAACCTTGCTCACTTATTTTTATTTTAGAGTTCTCTGTTTTTTGCTCACATCGTCCGGGACGATCCAAACATCGGCACGGACGATCAGCTAAAAACAGAAACCCTAATTAGGGCATTCTGGTTAAGGCAGTCATCTTTAAGCACATCGTCCTGGAAGATATTCGTATCAGCCGAGACGAAATGCTGAAAACAAAAAGAATCAGCTGCCATATCTATTTAGGTATTCTTTATTTTTTGACATCATCTTGGACGATGCAGCTCAATTATGCCTAAATTAATCTAGTAATTAAAGAAAGCAAAAAAGGTTTGATTGCACAATCACATCGTCCGGGACAATCGCTTGGACGATTGACATCATCGAGCTTATATTTAGGGCGATGTTCAGGACGATTTTCCGCGTATTTGAACTAATCGGCCAGGACGATCGTGATATCGGCCTTGACGATATGACCAAAAACCTTCTAATCGTCCCAAACCGACCGGGTTGATTGAGCGAAATTTATTATGATCGGTCGGCAAGTTGCAATTAATGAACTCGTTTGGAGCTCTTCTATTTAAGCTTTGACAAGGGACATTGTCAGAGTCTTTGGCAGCCATTGAAGCTTCGTTCTTTTGGAGGAAACTTGAAGAGAGATTTTGAAAGGGAGAGAGGAAATGGTGGAGTTTGAGAGAGGAAGAAGATCCTTGGAGCAGGTTTCAAGGGAGTGTGGGGGGTTCCACACGGTTGCTCCAACGAACTTGCACAATAATACCATCGGATTCAAGGCTCATCTTGAGGGAAGTTTTGAAAATAAGAAGATCTCTTTGGTGTTAAAGGGCCCGGCTACTCCGCCGCACCGGGGAAGGTGGAACTGATTTTGTAAGGGCTTCTCCGCCTAGCTGTGGGGGCTAAAGGAGAGACACTGAGTTTAGTGCAATACTCGGAGGATGCCTCCGATGAGTGGACGTAGGTCAAGGTTTGACCGAACCACTATAAATCTAGTATATTATTTCCTTTATTATTTTCGCATTTAATTTCCGCACTTAAATTTTCTTTGTGGTGAATTTTGGTTTGGTTTGAGTTTATGTTTTAATTGTTTGAAAGAATTTTTTAAAATACTAATTCACCCTCCCTCTTGGTTAGCCTCGGGACTAGTTTATAAAGGCTTAACATCTCTAATAAACTTTCAAGTGGTATTAGAACGGGATTCATAAAATCTAGTTTTTAAAACTTTTGAATTTTGATCCATGGCTAATTTTTGTAATCGTAATATTACGGAAGGTTATTCAATCACCCGACCACCTTTATTTGAAAATATTATTTTTGATTTTTGAAAAATTCGCATGTCTACTTTTTTACAATCTATTGATTTCCGAATGTGGCAAATGATTTTAACTGATTATTTTATACCGTCACGTATTTTAGATGGAATTAAAATTGATATTCCTTTTAATCAATGGAGTAGAAAAGAACAAATCAATGCTCAATTGAATGCTAAATCATTAAATTATTTTTTTCTATGTTTTAAATTCTGATGATTTTATTTTTGTATCTATATACTGGCAAAAAAATTTGAGATAAACTACACACTATATACGAAACCACTAGTGAAATCAAGCAATCTAGACTAAATATTTTATTGCATGATTATGAATTATTTTCTATGAAAATCTTATGAGTCGATCTTAGACATATATACTAGGTTTATTCAAATAGTGATATCATTGCATGCTTTAGGTAAAGAATTTTCAAATTTTGAAAAAGTCAATAAAATTCTACACTGTTTACTTGATAAATTTGATGTCATTTGTGAATCATTGCCTACGATTAAAGTTTGGGTCAAAGAATTTTGGATGTAGGTGAGATGATAGTGCTAAACGTTGAAGACTCGGAGAAAAGTGGCTTAGTTGTTGACAAAAGTAATGACTTATCAAGCAAATTAAAAAGTTCGTCAAAGCATAAACATCAATAAAAGTGGAATAAAGATAAAAATGATAAGAATATTAAGATTTCTTCTGACGTTGTTTGATTTGGATGTAGGAAGTCTAGACACATGAAAAATCAGTACCCTAATTTGAGAACTCATCCTGCAAAAGAAAAAAGACAAAACTAAACAAATTGTAAAAACGACAAATAATAAAAAGCAAAAAATCTTCTGGGTAGACCTAGCTTCTGAACCAACAGAACAGGAGCAAGATGATGTTTAAACCACTATTTGTGTGTTTATTTTTCTGTGTATGCATGTTTTGTTCATTTTTGTGTATTTTTTGTATTTTATTTTCTTCTTTGGATTTATTTTTCATTTTTTTTCCTTTCTTTTCTTTTTTGTTAAATTTTTAATTTGTCGTTACTTTTCTTTTTGTGAAGTTCTCTCTGATCAACACACATGTTCACCTTTCTAAAAATAAAAAACTTACCTCATATTTTTTATAATTCTTATATAAGTTGTGGTTGACTTCTTTAAAAACAGTTAAATGAAAAAAACT